TTTGGTATTTTTGGTTTTGTTTTTTTGGTATTTTTGGTTTTGGTGTTTTTGGTATTTTTGGTTTTGGTGTTTTTGGTATTTTTGGTTTTGGCTTTTTTGGCTGTGTTAAGGGGAAAAGGGTTGTTGTGTTTCAGGGTCTTAATTACAGCAGCGCCCCTAAGCGTCAGAGTTGACAACGATGTCGTCGAAGAGGCGTGCTTGAACTGCCCAAAACGCAGCGGTAGACTTCGACCCTTGAACCGAAAACCCTTTAACCGGTTTTTCTGTGGAGGTATTGGTACATGGGTTTGAGGTTGTGGTTTTCCATGGGGTTCTGGGTAGTTGTTCTAATGGTGTTCATCATGAGGGTCTTGTCTTGGGGTTTTCTGGTGGGATGGGGATTGAGGTATAGGTTGTTATGGTTTGGGGGTCTTGGGTTGAAGTCTTGGATTGGGTTTTCTCGTGAGGCGGGGTTAATGGCATAGGTTGTTATGGTTTGGCTGCCAGCGGGTGGTGCATGGTTAGAAAATGGAAATGGTCATTGCTAACTCAGACTCTTCCAAGCTCCTCCCATGGCAATCTTGCACTCCCGGCTTTTCTAGTACTCTGGAATTGGTCTGGGGTTTCATGGTTTGGGTGGCTGAAAGCTTTGCTACTTGTGCAGGGCGGAAGGATAGAATTCGGTAACGTGGCCAAGGTTGCGAAGAGGCTTGGCGCGCTGTTCAGCAGAGCGCAGCAGGAAGCCGCACCAAGACCATCTCGGTCTCAGCTGCTTTGTTTGCCTCGGCTGCTTTCAATGCTTTGGTGCAAGTTGCTGCTGCAGCATCTCACGGCCTGTTGGCGATCAAGTGGGTTCTGGCTGGGGACGAAGCTGGGTTTTTCCTGGTTGCGAGCCTTTCACTGGTTGCAGTTAACACGGAGCTCTTGGTGCGAGTAGCAGTGCTGGTCCACATGCGGAGCATCCTGGTACGACTAGCAACATGCAGAGGCTACCGGATTGATTTCGGAGGCATTGGGAGCCTGCTGGGTACAACTGTGGGTCAGGTGTGTGTGGCGTGGAATGTGAGCGTCACGCTTGTTTTGCTTGTATGTACTCTTGAGCGCATGTCGGAGCTGGGGAGATTGCTTCCTTGGGTTGCAGCTGCTGTGACCAGCCTTCTGTGGGCAAACACAACTTTTGCGGGGTTTGGAGCATCACGGTGGAAAGACCTGGAGGTAATTGCAACCACATCCACACCCGTGGCAACCGTGCCTGAGTTCTTGAGGCAAATCAGCGAGGAAGATGCTATGCCGGTCGCGGAAAGTCCAGCTGAAGAACACTCAAACTGTTGCTCTAGACTTGTAGCACCGTTGGGCACAGCCTGTTCTCTCACCTTGGACGATACCCTCCTAGAAAGGCATTGGATGGAAGTGCTTTTCGCTGCCTTTCCGGAGCATCCAACGACGCGACTGTTTCATACACTGTCCGTTGCATTCTTCAAGATGCTACCCTTTGTCATGCCTGCACTGCTTGTTGTGTACAGCTTGTCGAGAATGCCACAGATTGTGGCCCTGGAAGTGCTTGGTGGTGTGGTTTCGCCTACCTTCGTCCCAACCTCTTCAGAATATTTCATTTCGCTGGAAACAGGCTGGAAGGCGGAGCTCACACTTAAGTTCGAGATGGAGGTGGGCGGCGTTTGCCTGAAAAGAGCTTAGCAGTACAATATTACATCCAAATCTTAGCAGTCTTAAACTCCCACCCAAACGCCCGCTTTCAAGCCGTTTTCAAAGCCTTCAGCTGCTCCTACAGCTTCCTGTGCAGTCCCATGGTTTTCAACTTACAGCAGAGTTGAGGGCTCAGAAATGAATGAACACCCGTCAGGTGGGCCAAGCATCAAGAGTGCGGCTTTGCTGTCACGACCACTGCGAAACCTTAGAATCCACGCGGCGCAAGCATTCGGAGGACTACTGCCAATATTGAGGGTTGTTGTCAACCCGGTGTGTTTTGTGGGGGATATGGGACCTTGGAACTCCAGCCCTAAACCAAAAAGCTCCAACAAATATGTCTGGATCATCGTGGGGTGCAGCATGCCGTTCCACCAAGACATCGGTGAAGTTTATGTCAGCTCATGTCATGAGCATGCGCATCTGTCCTCTAGAGGGTTTGGCGTTTACGGTTCAGGGCTTTAGGGTTTAGCGTTCCAGACCTTGCGGTGAAGTTTACGTCAGAGCTACCGACTTGCCGCGGCATCGCAAAGCTACTGTGGTTAGCCACCACCTTTGCCGTTTGAGTGTTTTTTTTGGTGCCCGAAACGATATTGGAGCTTGTTACATTGTTGAGTAATTGCATTGGAGAACTTTGCGTGTGTGGCCTTGCGTCGCCCAGTAGGGGAGAGGTAGCACCCTGATGCCCGTCCCGTGACGACAAGGCAAAAATATGTGACATGTGCGGAATTTTGTGACAGGCTCAATCGTTGTTGCAGCATTACGTCCTGTATAATATTGCTGTCTGCGTAGTGCTGGGGTTCAGTTGGCGAGCCTGCATCATTGGATACACTGTTCAATATCCCACGTTCGAAGAGTTCCAACAGCTCAAGTTGCACGTTCGTTCTTCTGCGAGGATTTGCTCATGGCTGCCAGAGTTCCCAGCAGCCACTTTGGCACCTGCTCTCTGATATTGTATGGGCTTCGCACCCGCGAGTACGTCTTCACTGTGTTGGCACTGCAAGGCGATGGGGTCGGGGGAGTGGCTGGGTTTCCACCTAAGCGATTCTCGCGAACTCTAGAAGAGCAATCCGCTCTCTGAGTTGCTAGCGGGTTCGGGTGTGCGCCCTGCGCTAGCCTCAATTATTCCCTAATCCCGAAGCCGAATTCCTTAGAGGTTCTATGGCATGTTTGACTGACATGGTTGCACATCCTATACTGAATCGTAGCGTGTCAATTCCAAGCTTGGTGCGGTAGCCCGTTACACCCCAAAACCGAAACCAAAAAGCCAAAACCCTGAACCCTAAGCCATCCAGCCCTAAAGAGTGCAGAAAGTGTGTCTTGCAGGTGTACAGGGCTCCGCATCCTTTGGCAACCTCTCTGCCTCCTTGCCCGTCTATGAGGTCAGTACTCGCGATTATGTAGAACGCTTGAACCGGGGCTGCACTATCACTAATTTGTAGTTGTTTGTTGGAGCCTCAATTTGTCACAAGCCCTGCTTGTGGCCGCTTACGTAGTCCAAAGCACGTTCAGTGGCGGGCAGCCTCCTCACTGTGGCTTGCTGCGTGTACCTTCTCCATGGAGTACATGGCTAGTCCCGCCTGCCTGACGAGACGTTAATCAAGCCTCTGTATAGCCTGGACGATCAGCTCAGGAACGCAGAGCGCAATGCAGAACTTCACTTGCGAGCCTCGTGTTGCTTTCATGTGGACCTTTCTCTGCTAAAGGGGCCGGACGTGCCGACATGGACCTTCACGTAATCAACTCGTAATGCCTCTGTGGAGTGTCATCGGTACTTAACTCTTAAAGGCTAAGGTGATAAGCGGATGACTATAGATGTAACCTTCTTTGCGGTTTTGCGGTGTCGTAGGATGCGAAAGCCCCAAACTCTAAGCCGAGGACATGTTGCTAAGATGGTTGATGTAGTTCTGCAGCTGGTTTGCAAGCACACAAGACACGGAGTGAACGCGAAGATGGACACTACGAACATCAAGGCAATACCTGGAGTGTAGGGTTCAGGGTTTAGGATTTAGTGAGGTTTTAGTTGTTAGTTGGTGCAGAAGCAGCGGTTGTTTGGCCACGGGGCATGTTGTCCGAGGACCTCGTAGCATGTGAGGGATGGAGGGCCTGCTTGTGGAAGGTCTCACACTCCCCTTATTATTACTATTACTTCTACTACCCTATATTATGTAATCATACTCCCCTGATTCCTATTACTTATACTACCCTATGTAATCATGAAGGCCCCTACATGAAGGCAGCATTTAAGCACAAGAGGGTGCTGGTCGGCCTGGGGGGGCCGAGACCTGGCAGGCTGCGTTTATGGATTTACTTCATAAGGGAACCACGTCCCCACTACAAAGTGTCTTACCTGGACGTGTATGCTACACACATACCCTGCATAGATACACACCTACATATATGCCGATTTTCCGATGCAGACTGTCGGAGACGTGGGAGCAGACCTTTACAAGGTTTGGGGAGGCCCTAAGAGGCCCCTGGCGGGTTCTTTTGGGGTGCCCCGCCCACTCCTGATGCTGCCGGCAGGTGGAGCATTCGGGACGTTGGTGTGGAGCCAGCACAGAAGGCTGCCGCAAAGTGAATGTGCTTCGGTGGCATATGATTTTGTTCTTGTGATTTGTGCAAGCTTTCTGGTGCGGACACTTGGGGGAGTTGACTGTGCCGTTCAGTTGAGTGACTTGCGCGGCATCATGACCTAAGGCAACAATGAAGCAGTCATTCAAGTCTCTTGAGCAGGGCTTCTTGCGCCCGCTGCGGCCATGTTGAGCAATACCACAAGCAAAGATTCCGCCAAGGCTTTTGTAGGTGCCCGCATGTTGCAATGATTGGCGCTCTGAGGTTTCTTCCGAGAGTGCTGGCATCTTTGCAATTCAGGTGCGATACGGTAGTGCAATGATAAAGAGATACTTGTAGCGATCGCTTTTGCGCAGCCTCCGGCTGTGTAGTGATAGTTCTTATCATGGCTACTGCGATGAGGGAGGCCAGGGAGCTCGGAAAACCTGCAAGGAGCACGTGTTGAAGCAAAGTGCTGCAAATGCAACGGTATGGAGAAGAACTTGACTTGCGATAGGATTGTGCGCAGGGAGTCATGTTGGTTGAGCCAACAAAGCGTGCTGACTCTGTTAGCTCGGTAATGTGTAGCGCATGTCTGCTAGCTTGTACTAGGGGAGGATAGCACTTGCTTGGTGATTGTCTGGAAGTCCCTAGCATATACCGAGATCACCATGTACCGGATATCTCGTACTCCGTTTACCTCACCGCCAAGAACCGCAGCCAATCCGCACGTGAGCTTTGTGTTTACCTCATTGACAGCCACACTGGGTGTACGGAAAGAGTTGACATTTTTCTGCCCTGAGATGTCTTTCAGCAGCAGGAACTAATGACATTTTCCTCCAAGCATCAATCAGGACTAAAAGCTTTTACTACTATCATACACATACCCATCATCATGTGCGAAGCCTTCCTTGGACAACCCCTACCCGGAAAGTGTGTATGTTGCTAGGAGGACTTGGGTGGCGGAACTTACAGCTTGATGCTGGTACTGCGGCCGAAGCCTTCGAAGCCTGACATTGGCTCCTGGATCCATTTGGGCTTTGTGAATTGGAGGGTACTTCCCCGCTATATCATTTCTCGGGATACCTATTGGGAAAATACCACGTCTGCTTCTAGCATTGAGGCACCAGGATGTCCATACATTAAGAATAATTAGACGACTCGCGGGAAGTGTGCAGCGAATGCCTTGAGAAACCTCCATTTGGTGGAAGTTTGAAGAGTTCGGCATCCTTTCGTGGAGGTTCTGTGATGAGTGCTGTAGAGCATCGGGCATCTACACGGCGAATCTAGTAGTGAGTTCCTAACATAAGACCGTGACCTGGCCTTTGCTGGCTCGCCGCTCGCCAGCAGACTCGGAGACAGGGAGGTGGAATGTGCCGGCCCTAGGAACTACAGGGATGGGTGGAATGTCTCTGGGATTATAAGGACCTCTTCGGAGTTGTGCAAGATTGCTTGACAACGCCCATGTCTCTTGGAATCTGGAGAAGCCAAGGTCTTGGCAACCTGAGCTGCTCTTACACCTTTCACGTGCATGGGTTGAGGGTACGTGAGAATATTTTCGATTGAAAACAGGACAGGGGTTGTGTTCTTCTTTTCTCTGGCTTCTATCAGTTCTCGTGAGAGAGGATATCGTGTCGCATGCTTTGTGATGGTTGGTAGGGTTTCATACCGTGACTGTCACAGCTTAAGCTGACAATCCTGGCTGGACGGAAGAGTCTGTCAAAGTTCAGAATGCTTCCCAGGTGGTTGTCGTCAACCGGGAGGTGAGGCTAGCGCAACTAGCTCAAGACGTCGCAGAGCTTCGCGCCACCGTGGACGCTCTGGAAGATTTTGACCGAGGAAGTGATGCCGAAACGACGCAGCAGAAACAGTTGCACTGAGTTTGTGTCTGTTCCGTGTCAAGTACTGCCTACTGCGCCATGCCTGGGTGCACAAGGAGCATCTGCAAGCGCCAATGAGAGACCAATATTTACTGACAAACGTGAGTCATTCGGAGCTCTGCTCAGCTGCTAGGAGCCCAAGGGGTCCTTGGCCTGCGATGAGCCATTGGACGCCGGTACTGAGGTCCACGTGCAAGAGATACGGAACGTTGCAGAGTTGAAGCTGCCAGAGAAGCTGGAAGATCCAAGGACGTCTTGGCTTTGGGGGCGTTTGGACAGTCCGTCAGGCCCCATAGTTGCGAAAACAAAAACCATGAGTTAATTTTTGTTTGCACCAGAACCAGAGCATGTCAGACAGAGTCTGGTGGACATGTGAGAAGCGCCCTTGCTACAGTAGGTGCTGTGCTTGTGCCGGAGGTTGGATTCGACTGTGCCAAGAAGGGTCCATGCCGGAGGTCTTCACAGAAGCTCCAGGTCCATGTTTCGTGACCTCCCCAGAGTTGTTGCCTGCCTTTGCCTCGGTGCTCCGGGGCAGTTTGCTGCTGGTGGCTAGCTACCTCGCCACTCTCCGTGCCGTGATTGCATCTGGAGCCACCGTGATGAACTTTGTGCTGGTGGCTGCAGCCTGCGTGATGCACTGTGCCGTCTTGATGTCTTCGTTCTGTGCTTTCTCAGCCGGCCTTCACCATGCCGAGTCGCTGGCTGCCATGAAACTCCTACGCCTCCCTGCGCCCGGGGCGAAAAGGGCAGCCTCCTTCCTGTTTCTGGCGTTTGCGCTGCTGGCTGCTTCCTCTCTCCTCATGGACTTTGTGAGCTGCCTGGCGATCCTCTTCATGACGGGTTTGCACGCCTGGCACCTGCATCGCACCTTGAAGGCCTACGAGAAGTGGCGAGAGCCGCAGCTATGCGTAAGCGAGTACCACGCTATGACAGTAGAGCAGCTGACTCACGCTACGCAGAAAGTCCAGCTCTCCAAGCACCGGGCACTGAAACGGCTTGTGGTGCAGTACTTCTACGGAGCCCTGATGATCATGGCCTGTGGAATATTGGGTTTCCTGATCATAGATGGCTGTGCTGTACGAGGTCTGCTGGTTGAGTACACGAGCAATCGAGGCCACCTACTCTATCCCGCCGATGCCCATGCCTATCACAACACGCTGCTGCTGGACACCACTGTTGACACGCTTACCCTCTCTCTGCAGGGTGACCAGAATACCCAAGGCATCAGATTGAAACTGGACCATGCCCTTTTGAAAGGGAATTATTCTTACAGCTCTGAGTCCCATAAGGGCAGCGACTACGAGCTTTTCCTTCCTGTCGGTCCGCTCTACGGGCGCATCTCCATCGAGGCAATGGGTTCCCTGGGAACAATGAGTACGACCTATGTTCTCCATGTGCTCCGGGTGGGGGCTGCCATCAATGTTTCATTGGAGAGTGAGTTTGAAACCGTCCATCCTCATATCAGCCCCTTCCTGGAAACTCGCCGCCTCAACTACATGCAGGGGCATACTGAGTGGTATGCTCCCGTGACTAACGCCAAAGGTCAGTACACCCTTGCCGTCCATATGTCCCCAGTGATCTTGGCCCCCTTGCTATCCTTCCAAACGGATGCGATGGACCCTGAGAAAGACCTGCCAGCCATTGCTGACAGCTGCAAATGTGGCAGTGATGTGAGCGGCTTTGGGAATCAGTGCGAGTTCCAGATGCCGGTGAACCTGTCCAACGCTTCTCTCTGTGTCTTTGCGCGAGCCGTAGTCCTCAAACTTGCGCAGCTGGAGCATGGCGTGGGAGGGAATGTCGCAAAGATGGAGGATTGGCTGTCTGGTGTGGCTGTGAGTGGCAAGGCTGCAGCATGGATCCCATCTGGCCAGAACGAGACGTCCATCGTTGATTTCGAGGGAGCGAAACTTCCGGGCAGTCTCGTGAGCCGCTTTCGCCTTTCCCAGCTT